AACCGGAGTAAATTGCAGAGTGAAGGGATAAGAACTTTGCTTATCATCATCACCTGACAGGCAGCCGTAGTTTTGAGGATCCACTGCTAGTGATTCACGTTTTATTTTTCCTCTAAATATTCTATGCATGTTTGTATCAATTGGATGTTACAAGCTGCAAGATGTTTGATGAAAAAAAAGGCAGGATTTACAAGCAAAGAACATAGGTACTCGGATAACAGATTATATAGTTTTCCCTTTAACTGATAGTCCTGAGTACTTGTTTTACAAACTGCAAAGTGCCTTCAGATGTATTGACTTCACTGTGGAGATGGAGTATTTACGGTGCAATGCTGAGTCATGTAAAAGGAAAGGCAGTCTGTGGGCTGGTGAGAAAAGTGATGGAGACACGAGCGTGCTCCCGAAGAAAAGACTTAGTTTTCTTTTTTTTTTTCCCTTCTTTAATTTAACATCAGTAAACCAAATGATACACTGCCCTACACCTGTTACACAGTATATACCAGTGTAATAGTGAAATGACTGTTTTACCCTGCTGATGCTCCACCGGCCCCCTCTGAGCTCCCGTGTAGGTACACACGCAGGCCACACACACATACCCCAGATGCAGCAGTGTCCCTAGCACGCTAGAGGGAGCCAATACATAATTACAATGACCTTTTTTTCTTTTTTTTTTTTTTTTTTTTTTTTCCCTCCAGTTAGCAGAACTTGAACAGGAGATAACTGGACATCCTAAGACAGCTTGCGGGCTGGATGTAAAGGGATAAGGAAGGGAAAGCACAGGGCTCAAGCTGCGGTGATACGAGGTCTCCTGGCAGCCCAGGGTCTGGCTCTGGTGTTAGCTACGTTTTCAAAGCCCTCCTGCTTTTACGAGTGACTTTTCCAAATAAGTGACTTGGCTGAGTACGCCGATTTCCATCAGCCAATCTGAAGCCTTCCTTCGGAAAGCAAAGCATGTTGTAAACATTTCCTTTATTTCGTCTGTCTGTCGCTCTCACACTGAAAGTTGGCACATCTGAGAGCAGTGATTTTACGCTGCTGCTAACGTATGGATGGTTTATTTATACACTGCATTTTAACACAGCGTTGGTTTTATGATGACTGTTCTGCAGGGCATCCTGTCTGTACCCGAGCTACAGAGACGTTTCCAGGATGGGAGATGGGTCCAGAAAGAGCACTTATTGCATTGATGCATTAGCAAGACTTTCTCCAAGTCAGATGATGTTTATGGGCACCGAATGGGCTGGAGGCTATCCTACTGAGGAAGGCAACAGAGCAGCTTCTTTAAACCGAATCTTATAAAAGCCGCTCTGAAAATAATTGCCGGGAGCGCCTTCTAATTGCTCCGGAGTTGATTTTCCCCCTCGTTATTTTTTTAACCTTAAATGATTCATGCTACTTACACGCTCGTCACTCACAGCTCACAAATGGCAGCTTCCTCCCGGCACTCCGGCAATCCGAGCTCTCACCTTGCCAGCCTCAGTTCTCCCCCCGCGCCAAATAACCTCCCTTCGTGCCGTGCCGGACCGTGCCGTGCGGCGGGAGCGCAGTACGCTGTGCCGCGTCTGGTGGGGAGGGCGCTGCGGCCGCTCGCCCTGCACCGCACCGCACCTCACCGCACCCAGCGCTCCGCAGCGCTGCTCCCACGCTCATTCCCTTCGGGGTGGGCGACACCCCCCCGGGGCGGCTCCTTGCAGAGCTGTTGGAGGGAGTGAGGGGGGGAGGAGGGGGGCGGGCTCCCCCCATCCACCCCTTCCTCCCTGCAACCCGGGGTAGTCCCCGGGGGGGCGGGGGGGCGGGGGAGCGGAGGGGTTCGGGTGCTCCCTCGCAGTGCTTTGAAGAAGGAGTGCGCCCTTCGCGTCTTCTCCTTATTTTCTCCGCCCGTCATCGCAGAAGACTTGTTAATACGTATTAAAATAAATAAAATAATAGTAAAGGGAAAAAAAAAAAAAAAGAAAGCATTAAGGAAGGAAAGGCGCGCGAGGGGAAAGGGAGGTGGGTTGGGGAAGGGTTGGGGAAGCTGTGCTGCTCGGTTTCGAGGCCCCACATCCCGAGCACCGCGCACGTTGCGCGACTCCCAGCGAAGCAATCTAATCAATGACACCCAGCTCCAGCCACTGCCCCGCCCCCCGTCCGCCCGCCGCTTCCCATTGGTCGGGAGGCGTCGGGGCCGGTCGCCACCGCCGCCT